AAGCTGCGATAGCTGACGAAATTCTTCAAGTAAAGGAGATGTATGAACAGCGTTTGAGCGTTTGCGGTGCTGCGCACGAAGAAGCCTTACGTTGCTTAGAATCAGAGCATAAACGTATTCTCGAAGAAAAGGAGAATGAGGTAAGTCGTTTTTCGCAAGACATTTCTTACCAGAGGGCTGCCTGACATACGTGTGTGAATTTGTAAAAATATCTTAATGCAGGGCGGACTCTTTTAAAATCTGTTGCTATTTTATTGTCTTTTCACCTTCAATTTCACCTTTTTTGTATGCTAAATTTGAAAAAATTGGATTTAGCTGAAAACTGAGCTCACTTCGGCGCACGATGAACTGATTCGACTAAAAGAGGAGCTGAGCGAAGCTAAACAGAATGCTTCTAAAGTTAGTCATCGACGTTTATTTCATGCTCTGGGATCTGAATTCTCTTCCGTCTAAAGAAAATTTACATGCTAAAATTCGTTGAAAAATAGACTTTTACTTTTTCTTTAAATAATATATTAGTTATTCATAGTTGAATTGCAGATTGTGAAAGAAAGCGCTGAAATCTCGCAACTGGAGCAGAGTCTTTTAGAAGCTAATAATAGATGCAGTGAGTTAGAGAAAGCGAATCAAGGACTCCAAAAAAACATTGATGAGGTTGCTTATACGGAGTTTTTTTTTTCCGCTTCTGGGAGCCATTCTTGTCTAGCTGCTTAGTGATCTGTTCTCGACAGCTGTGATTCTTTCATTGCTGCTGGTCCTAAGATGCAGTCATTCACAGCTCGATTGGCCGTTTTCAAGAATGTTCCCACATAGTTGATGCAACAAGCTACAGGCGCCGGGCGATTCTTTCGTCTTAATGAAAATGAAATCTTAAGAATTAATGCTGAACAAGTAGTGAAGAGGTCTGGGCAGGCAGCGAACCCGAGCATATAAAATGAAAAGCAAAGGGGCAGTGCAATAAATTGCTGCATACTGCGATGCTGTATGGCTCAAGATGGAAAATTACGATTATTACAGCGCAGTAAAATTGTGCTTTTTGCCTTGGATTCCCGGTACCGGGTTTATCACACTGAATTTCAGATGTCTTGTCATTCAGCCAATTATTTTTCTGATTTACAGGCATTTGCTCAGCTGTCGCAAAGTGAAAGAGCCCGAACTGAACTTGTCGCATTGGTGGAACAGAAGCATGCGGAAAGTGTGAATTATCATGCCCAACTGCAGATATTACTTGCCGAAAAGGAACAGCAGAATGCCGCCTTTTTGGCATTCAAAGAAAGAGTAACTGTGCTGGAGCAAGAACTGAGCAGGTTTTCATTGATTTCATGGAGTGCTGTTGCAAAAATGTGAATGGCAGATAGTTTTGAACGTTTTTGGCAATTTTACCTAAACTTTTAAAGAAAAAAAAAATATTCCAGTTGCACTGAAGCTCGAAG